AATGTTATATTTGTTGATAAATTAATAAAATATTAGATATATGTATTTTTTAAGTACCCTGTGGTTCAATTAATATTGCTACAATAATTATTAATAAAATGTCGAGTACCTACCCTCCAGTATTGCATTTACCCATACACCCCTCCCCTTATAACTCACAAATCACTTAACACGCCCCTCTTTGATCATACATTGTATAGATAACACGAAAAATACACACTCATTGCCGTATTTCTTCAACTATAGCAAACTTGACATTTTATAGATAAAGGTTAGATTATGTATAAAGATCACGTCTAGATTAATTCGTAAAGTGGATAATATGTTTGTTTTATCTCTATACGGATGCTTTCGATACGTTTTTTCTCTTTGAATTATTGGGGCTTATGTACAGATATAATACTATAATAAATATCTTAAACATGTAAAATAAAATACAATACTTATATTACGTATGATATATTATGTAGGTCACGTGATGTATCTGCAGGCCATAAGTGCGTATTATAGCAGTCGCAGTTATCACAAGCTTAACACGTCATTGGAACCCAAACGCGCGTCAAGAGACTCCGAAAGGGGGAAGGTGGTTGTAATGGTATAATATAGGACCGAGTGTAGACACAGAAAGAGTATAGCGACTGACGCACGCAAAACGCTACTACGCATTATTTATTGTATGGAAATGACACGATGCCGATTGGGAAATACGATAATATGGCTTTTGATATTGGTGTATCATGATGGGCGTGTGTGTAAAAGTGTAAAAACTACAGAAGGTACAGTTGTCAGATGAGGAGTGGCAGGAGGATTATAGTGCCTTTTCTCATACGCAACAATTAACATGTGTATTTAATCATATCAATTTTAAATCGTATTATTACACATTTATCCATATAAACATAAAACATCTACAAATATTATATATAATATATAAATGTGAATAGCGTTTTAATTTATGTATAGGTACCTATTATTTTTTTTTATTGCAAAACGATGATTTATCAGCACATTAATTACACACATTATAGACTGTGAATCACGATTCAACAGTGTATTGACAAGATTGTAATGCTGACACAATTTTTGTATTAATTTATAATTAATTTTATCCTGTATAATTTATCCTTCCATATACTCGTAAGTCATAACATTTTATGCTGTATAATGAATAATTATAAAAGTAAGTACATATTATTTTTAAAATCAAATCAAATTTGTTTCTGTTTTTTATAACGGTGGTTTTATAATTACATTTTTTTATTTTAATTAAATTAAAATATTATATAAGTTTTAAAAATTTATATTTTCACTTTCAGAAAAATAATTGTAAACTATTGAGTATATTTATTAATAAAATAAAGACTAAATATTAATATTTTTATAAAAGTATGTTAATTTAAACATATAAGTTTCTAAGAAAAAAAATCATGAATTAGTGTGAAAAATTTGATTTTTCCAGTGAATAAAGTATTATTAAACATAAGTAATTAAACCTCACATGCTATGTAAAAACACATACATTTATTAAGGTCAAAATGAAAAAAATACCCTAAATATAGTCCTACATTGGCATACTTTGATTGTTCAGCGAATTCACGCAAAGCTGTATATATCTTCACACCCTAATACGTCGCATGGGCAATCAACTATTGTTCACTGACGCGATGTAGGCACTTTTTTTAACACATTTGTTATCCACCGAAAGCGATTTTTATTTCACTTTTGATTTGTGTAAAGAATGAAGGGTTGTTCTTGCTATAAATATCAAAATAAAATTAATGCTTAAACTCGTAGTTGATGTAATTTTTACAAAAATATAAGTTTGTCTATTTATTATTATAGTTTATAAATTTATTAATTGTAAGTATTAATACGAAACAAGCAACCTTGATAACACGTAAACAATTTCTGCTGTCGTTCTTATTGTTCATAAAAAAAATATATATATTGTAATTATTACTATGAAAATAAACATGTAAGATGCAATTATTGAACTTGGTTTCACATTAAAATATATTTAACCTTGCGGTTATCTCCATTTTCTGTAAATAAAATAACATTTTTTTACCATAATCTACTAAAAAAAATAATTTTTTAATCTTTCGAATTCAATAAAAATGAACGTCTAATAATATTAAAATGTAAACAATAATTATAATTTATAATAATATTTGTTCTAACATCACAAAATACAAATACAATTGTTTTAAAGTATTTTGCTTATTAATAAAAATAAACTGATAGAACTTATTGATTGACTATATAAAGAGAAGATTTTATAAATTTTAATTAAATTTTAGTAAAATATTATTATTAAATAAAGGAATTCGTGATAAACTGATAACTAATAAAATATTTTTGTAAAATAATAAAATAAAATAAACTGTTTGGAATTGGTATAGATCAAAGATTGTCGTCGCGACAAATCGTATCGTCAACTGCTGTGATCGAAATTCAAATATTTATTCATTACTTTTAAGTAATATAACGATATGCGATTGATTTAATTTATTTTGATTATTAATAACTACTCAGTATTAAATATTAATAATAAAAACCTGTTATGTTTTTAATATTTAATAATTTAATAATTTAATATGTATATCATATGTTATAATTTGCTTTTGCTTAAATTAAAAATAGATATTCTTCTTTTTTTTTTTTTTACCTTTCTTATTAATTTGTTTTAATTTCTATTTACTATTCAGTGAACATTAAATATTTTTTTTATATGAGTTTAAATATTTAAATTTGTTATATTATAGATTTTTAAAATAGCTTTTACGTTATAATATGTAAATATATTACACATCTTCTGTTTCATATAGTAAACCAACTTTTAAAAATTTAGATTTGCAAGTTTATGAGATTATAAACTTTTAAATGTAATAATTGAATTTTTTTATTTTTCATTAAAATGAAATATTTCAAGAAAATAAATTTCATGAAATTTTATATATATATATATATATATATATATTAAGGTTGCAACAAGTTAAGGATCAGACAAACAGACAAACCACCATTGGTTGGGTTTCATTCACGAATGTCTGCCGAGATTTAGGAAATACTCCGTGGTCGCCCTATGCATAACACCCTGCACGGCTGCATCGCAGCCGTCGGTTATAGCGTTAACGACATAACGTCATTATATCGTTGCTGACACATAATGCGTTTGCGAACCCGAAAAGAGTTGCGTTATTATATTATATTTTATTTCCAACATCGGTGGCGGTGACTAATGGTGGTGTATATTCCATTCGCCCTTCACATGATATTATATTATTTAAAACGATTACCGCCGTTACGGGACCGCAAAATGTCGAAATCCAATGTAATTATATTTACATTTCTAAATAATAAATAACAGATAATAATAGTAATAATAATGATAAAAAAACAGAAGCAGAAACGCCGGTCATCGTTTCGATTCGTTCAGGTCATGTGACTTTAAATAATCGAACCACACGACCGAAAACAAATAACGAATTTTTAAAGAAACACGGCCGCTGCACCACCCAACTGCGGTTCCAAAAAAACGAGCGAATGTATAATATAATATAATATAATAATATTATATGCTATAAATATAAAATAACACAATATTACACATGACCACCCGCCGCCGTTCCACGTGCGTGTCCGGTTTAAAGATTTGGGGTTGAATTTCACCCTGTATACAATATTTATATAATAATAATACGAACGATCGTAAAATGTTATTTATATACATTCTAAAAATAATAGTGATTTCATTTCGTTGATTCTCATTTTTTTAAAAAAAAAATAAAATACTGCTACCACTCCTTTGCATTTGGTCAACGGATCATTTGTTCCGAGTATCGGGATGAACGTCTGCGCTGCAGTATACGACTACACCGCATTTATGTGTACTATAATAACAATAATGATAATATATATTATATGTACCCTCGCCGAGGGTTTATATTGTGAAATACTTATATTTTTTATACACTTATAATGTTCTTCCGCCGGCGTTACCGGGGTAATATGTCTTGCGTACCGCGGTTGAACATAGTAAACATTTAGGAATAAAAAACGATCGAAATTTGAAATTTAACTGTTCGGAATGAAACGTATATCCGGTTAATATGATATAAATTTATATTATAAAAAAAAATGAATATCATGTAAACCCATAAAATAAATAACATTTAATATATCATATTAAGCGGCGGCCGATCGAGTAATATCGAGTATATTATATTATGTGACATTTTGCAGATATACTTATAATATTTATATTATATCATATTATTTTGATATGTACGCGCACGATTTTGAATTTATGAATAAGGTAAATTTAATAGCACTGTAAATCACAACATTTTGGTTATTTATTTTTTCACTAATCGAAAGTATAATGACACGGTTCAGTTAAACGGTTTGGAAATTGACGATGGGATCGAATGCAGAAATTTGGAGCATTCTATCAACGGATTTCATTGACTATACCATAATACTGTACCACAAACACCAAATAAACATTTTCAGGTCATCACAACAGAATTATACTTGAAACTATTTGTGAAATTTATAACTTTGTATTTATTGTACAGACGAGCACCGTTAAAAAAATTTACCGATGACAAAAATGTACCTCACATTGGTCGGAGTTTTTCTTTAATAATATTTAAAGTACTATTAAAGAACATATTATTCGTTGAAATCGATTTTTTTTTTTTGTTTTTATGATTTAAATGAATGATAATATTGGCTAAAATTACTTATTATGAGCTTATTTTTTTTGAGATTTATACGTTTGTGTGGATAAGTAACTATGTATCTAATATATTTAAATATTTTTTTTTAAATAAAATAAATTGTTTTTATTTTCAAATGTAATAGCCGATGAACCCTTTATAGTAAATAGAATAAAACTTGGGTAGTTATACCAATATGTTTTAATCTAACAATAGGCCTTTTGTTTAAAATCCAGATTAATATTGATATATTATTGTTTCTAATGAATATAATAAATGGACAACGACGAATTGGAAGAAAATGAGCGTCTCAGTGCGTATTTAGATTTTTTATTTAACACAACCGAATTGATCAGTATTGAAGAAGATATCGATGAAAATGAACTTGATAAATCGGCAGATACTGACAATAAATACGAAATATTCAACAGAGCTTTTAAAAAAATCAGAGATGACACAAATAATAAGTCACTTTATAGAAGCATTAAAGAAGACATAAAAGAGTTATCATGGATAAAATATCAATTGTTGGTTGAAGGTAGACAGAAGATGTATGACAAAAATCTAAAAATAGAAACCAATTCGACTATAACAGAAAATGTCATCAATGACGAAATGTCTGCCACTAAAGTAGAAACGTTATCGTTTAAGTACGTATGGGAAGAGCTACAAAATCTGAAAAGTACCAAAGAATTTTGTAAGTATTTAAAGGACAACCCACACTTGAAAAAGCCAAAATATCTCATAGACGTTGGTTTTTTCAACAACAATCAAAATACAAAAAACAACAAAAAGAAATCTTCATCTGCATACATAAAATAAACAAAGTTATAGATTATAAGTTTTTCCTCATTTCTAGTGTTTTAATAAATTAAAGTCTACAATAACTTTTCTAAATCCTTATTTTCCTTTATTTATGTCTTCCCATACATCCTTTAACGACAACGTTTAATCACTTATAAGTTGCGGATATTTCATCGGCAAATTTCTCTTATAAAATGCTCAGTTGATTTACAGTTTAAATTTTTTTTTTTGAAAATCTTTTATCTATTTTCAACTAACCGATTATCAACAGTTACAACTCTTTTATATTTATTTTAATGCTTTCTGTAGTCAGCTGTAGCGAGATTATACGGTATTATGATGACTTAGGAATGCTAATAATTAACATCAACCAGTTAAATAGTAATACTTTTTAATTTAAGTTTTGACTAAATTTCAGTGTGCAATATATTTAATCACGTGTTATACGAAATCATAATAGACTATGGATGTTGTGAGGTTTTTATCTATTTAATAATATTTATAAATTATTACTTTTTTTATATATATTTATATTAATTTGCTGTTTCTTTGTAGCTTGATTCCGATTACAGTTGTTTCGTTCGCTATTTGTTCTATAATACAGAATATTTAAATATTAAGAGTTAGTTTAATAATATATTTTTAGCGTGTACTTAACCTAATATAATTAAAGTTTGTTAAAATAATCATAATTTATCGTCAACTAGGACAAGGAAATAAATAAACAACTCAAACGCAAATCATAATAATGTAATTATTACCATGTACCTAAAAATCAACACATGCATACACACACACACACATGCGTGCGTTAGATTCCTAACATAACCTGTGCGTATATCTTATATGTTCCTGTAGAATTGATGACTATTATATATATACTATAGTTTATAATTTCATGGCTGGTGGCGAAGCATAAAGATGTCAGTTCGTCAATCACCGACCGAGAGGCACGACCCTAGTCTTTATCGTACACATTAAATACACTGCAATAATTTTACGTATAAGCAATTTATATACTATGAACTATAATTATGTTATTATTGTACGTTATAAATTATAATATACTTGGCAAGTTAGAATAATGGTGGTGTTGGATAAAGCGACGGACGCGTGTCTTCTTGTGAACCATTTAATCACATCGAATACACACACTTATACACAATTGTACACAATTGCACTAAAAACAATATAAAATACTAAGCAGCACCACAGACTGTGCTACAGTAAATTATGAGGACCAATTAAAACGGTTTTGGACACATCACTCGACAATCCACCAGCTAGTAGGACTAATAGATTTAATTAAACGCAAACAATAAAATATGCATGATAACTATACTTTCTTGACGTCGTTCAGCCGTTTTTGACATCCTAGACGTTTATACAAATTTCACCCACTTGACGCTTCAGCTTTTCTATTAACAATCATCAAATCATTTATAGAAGATCGAATCTTTATTATTCACGGTATAGCAGACACAACAGACAAAAACAGATATTGAAGGTAAATGCTCAAAATCAGTTGCAAAGTAATGTTCAATTGCTAAAGAGACCAAAAAATATATATGGATTTCAAACCTGAAATAAATCAATATTATATATATTATAATAAGCCAATCAATCCTACAGTCATCTAATACCTATTAGTACAACACTTGATCAAATTTTAACTTTCAAGGGCCATGTTGAATAACATTACGATAAAACGAGCTACTAAAAATAGGGATATGCTATATTCGGTCTTTAATAGCCGTATGACTCAATTCTAGCACAACTTAAATCACCTGCCTATTTCTATATACGTTGGCTCAATCCTAATTTATACCAGACACACCTGGGAACCCCTACTGTCGTATTCAAATTGGAGAAAAATCAAATAACTTCAAAAACATTTGTTTATTTTTATCAACGTTGTAATACAAAAGTAAAAACACTAGAAAATATTATAAAACTGCATATACATCAACATTTTTATGAAAAAATAAAATTATATTCAGTTTTAAAATACTTAATTATTTTTCTCAAATACTTGCTGATAAAAAAGTATTATTATGTATGAACAATATATACATAGTAAATGTATAATACGTATAACCGATTTAGTGGCTTTCCGTGTAATTAAACGGACGTTATTGGCTGGCACACAGGCATGGTATATATTACAAAGGGGACAACACCAAATGAACGGAGGAGGAAAGACAAAAAAAAAAAAAAAAATACTTATAAAGAAAAAACGAAAAAAAATTGTTCGAAAATAATAAAGAGAAATAAACCACAAAACCTCGATGATATAGCCACCATCGTACGTAATAATAATAATAAAAACCAAGGGATAAACGAGACGTCCGGAACCGCGGTAATAACAATATATTTATGAAAAGGCTGAGCAAACACTGGTTGATCTCTATGTATTATCATACATATATATATATATAAAATACTATTATACTACGATAATATACATGAAAATACCGGTCGTAAATGTGTGTGTGTGTGAATTGCGTACGTCAATACATCAAAAGGCCGCGGACAAAAAGAGTGGTTCGTCTACACCACAGCTTTTCTCTTTCCGAAAACTACCCGGCCTACCACTGCGGTCTCTGGGGCTTTTTCACCGCGGATCCTCGTCGCCGTCCCGTGGGTCAGCTCTTTATCCTGCCGTCATGCTCTCTTATACTTTTTAATTATCCTCGCGCTGCCCGTTGCGTTCTCGACCCGAACACTCTTCTTCTACCATAACCTTTGTTGACTTTGGTTACTGCGACGGTGCAGCAGCTTGTACATTATATTATATTGTAAACGATGTACGTTCGCTTTTCGATATCGTGCTGAGCACGGGGCAATCTCGGCCACGGATTTCATATGAGCATAATATCTGTGCATATATACCTACGATACACGGTATAATAGAGAAAAGAAGTACGGTGCCTTTTATTTTGTTTTTTGTAATGTGAAAAACCCGAATTAATGAATACGACCTCAAAGTACTTACCTTTAATATATCATAATATTCGAGCACCCCCGCTGAACATTTAAATATAATAAAATATTTCAGTGTTCAACTGACAGCTGTCCACATGCAAATTTAAATTTCTTATTTTATACATATTTACGCTAAACATACACAATATGTATAATTATATTGCTATGTTTTCTTATGTTCGTATGATATTAAAAATATAATATTATACGTATATGAAATTAACGAAAAAATGGAATTGAAATTTTATAAAAAAAAAAATTAATCTGTAATTTCAATAATGTGACTACAAAAATACTACTATAACTATATTGCAGATATTATACACTCAAGCGCTTTGATAATATTTTAATTTATTTTTATTTTTGTATAGTATAAAAAAAAATTAACCATCAAAGTCTTTTTATTAAATAAGCCAACCTCTATGTATACCGATGCCTAAGTATCTTTAATGATAAACCTCTTCATTGATCCATAACCATACGTCATTTTTATTCAATTGAATTTGTCATAAAACATTCTTTGATAAACTGTGTAATAAAAAAATGATTTTAAAAAACTATTAATAAAAAGTCTAATCATGTAACATTATTAAATTACTTTAATGTAATAATTAAAAATTAATAAATTATTAGTGCATATCTCCTTTGAATTCTAAATGATTTTTATAAATATAAAAATATAATATAGATACTTTAAAGTTTATACGCATTTACTAGTAATAATAATTTATAATAGAATATTAAAATATATAATTTTAAATTCTCTAAATATGTACATAGAATGAGAACATCTCAGACACAAGATGCTGCTGTTATTAAATTTAATTGTTTATAATCTTAACATCTTAATATAAATACTACATTTATAAATACTTAAATGTTGTATTTGATAACTAAAAGTGAAGATGCAAAAACATGTAAGTACATTCGTTTGATGCATCTTCTACAGTTTTGTCAGTGTAGACCAGTGATTCTTAACCGGTGTTCCGCGGAACACTGGTGATTACTGCTCCATGAACTTGGCTAAAGTGTTTTGTCAAAATTTTAAAATTTGCGAAAAAAAAAATATAAAATTATTGGGATAATTTAATTTTCAGTTTCATCGTTTTTAATGATTGAACTTATTAAATATTAAGACAAAGAAATGTAAAGGGCTAACTAATACAAAAGAGGAAATGAGAGTAGTGCTTTCATATATAAGACCAAATATTGAAAATATATGCAATAATCATCAGGCCCAAATAGCATATTAAATAATCTAAAAATTTCTTCAAAAGTTGTATTTATTTTATATAACTTACCAATTTTATTATAATAATATGTAATAATAGATTGACTAAATACGAGTATCAGTATCATTATGTATGTTATTTTATTAAAAAAAATTTAAAGTATTGTTTTATTTTACGTCTTTACGACCTAGTGCTCCGCAAAAATCTTATACAATTAAAAGTTTTCCGTGGTTCTAAAAAGGTTAAAAACCACTGGTATAGACTATAAACTATAATTTATGTAATGTTACAATATAAATTATTTTTACTCGCTTATTGACCATCTTTTCATATTATTTCAATAATACCTACATCAAGATACTACTCAAATAAATTACGCATGTTTTTCAATGTATTATATAATATAACTTTTTTTTTAATTAAAAAAATGTACCATCTTAAATCAAACATACAAGAGAGTTATGATTTCATTTTAACAAAATAAAAATAAATAAATAAATAAATAAAAGTCTGAAAATGAAGATCACATTTATAACAATAACAATTTTAAGTTTATTCATTCTTACATTTAAATAAATAAAATTATGAATTTTAACATACATACATAAGTCAAATATAATGGATTTATAATTTTTCTTCTTTTACTTTTTCAAATCTACGTTTTACATAATTTATAATAAAATATGCACTAATTTAAAAATGCGTTCATCTTAAATCTAACAAAAGTTTATCATTAATAACCAGATATATACAGTTAAAAAAAAAAAAAGTATAAAAATTACAATCCTATACGTTATAGCACACCTGGTGGTTGATGGCTGACCCCTGACCACAGATTTTATTTTAGTTTTAAAATCTAGTCAAGCGCTTTTCGGTATTCAGAACTTAACTTTCTAGGTCGTCAATAAATGACCAGCCCCTGACTTAAAGGCCAAAGCCAGATGTAACTTTCGTCGTTGCGGTCACTTCTCTTATTATTTTATTAGACACAGTGATTTTTCCTATTATCTAGCACCCTTTTCACAACTATCACGTTTCAATAAATTAATGTAGGCACCTTGACCTTGAAAAATACTGTTTCAAAACAGAATATCAATCTGATACTAGTATTATTTCTATCTCTCATAGTACTAACTGGGCTAGTAGTTGACATCAGTTAATCAACTTAAAGTGAAATCTTCTCCCACTATTTTGATTCCCAAAATAGATGGACCGTAAAAGCTAAAAGAACTGTAATATCCCGTCTTCATTGGGTGCGCGCGAGTTCTTGCATTCTCTGCTGGTCAAGTTATGTTTTTATTAACGAGGTCTCGGGGAATCGACCTCAGTGTGTAATATTAATATTAGAGATCAAAGTTACCTCATTTAAGTAAAGCAGATTACCAATCCGGGTAGATGTTGATGTGCCATGAGTGTGGATACTTGATGGTGACCGTACGGATCATCGTAGAATCTTTTTCACTGTCTGCTTCGACTGCATGTCGCACACTCTCTTCAAACACGTAACAGTAATAGTTATATACACCAGACGTGAGTCTAAAAGCCTTAAGTCAGTAGTCGGCCCCGCTCGCCATTATTCACACTCAGTATTTTAGCAGCATGTGCCCTACCTAAGGAATAATTTACGATGTCGATAGATGGCAATAGTTACATAACATAAATATTAATGCGGGTAGTTAATGCTTTAGTTTTTATATACTTAAATTTAAATCCATTGTTTATGATTAAGCTTAAAATTTATTTAAATCACGTTTTCTTAGATAATGATAATATTTTTTTACGAAATACTTATAGCAAAACAAATGAATTCAATAAACATATTAACTTTAGTACTTAAAATAACGAAATATATTATTATTTTTTATATAGGTAGGTATTCGGACCATAGTCATATTATAATATTGCGAACATGTTGGCTAGAAAGTAATAATCAGTTTAATCACAACACTGTGCTGGCTAATTAGAAAAACATATATTATAATAATATTTAAATCTAATGTTTATTTTAGAATGTTTATTGTCAGTCAGTAAAGTTATTTGAACACTAACTTATAGTTTATATTATTTTTGTTCTTCAATTATTTATCTGTTAATTTTTTTTCATTTTTAGTGTATTATTAGTTTTTTTTTTTTTAGTAGTTGTTCTGTTTCACAAAACTTAATCTTAATTTTAAATGTGTATTAAAAGTGAATAATTTTTCAAGAATACTTTCCAAATAGACATTGGGTATTTTTATGTCTTTGTGTTTTCTAATATTAATCACATCACTTGAGCTATCATTGGTATTCAAAAGGACATGTAAGATTTTAGATGTTTAATAGATATAATGATACGTGACAAATATCTACTCTGTTACACGGTTATTAAAATAAAAGCGGCAGTAAACAGTTAAGTATAGTTTAATAAATAATCTTATTTAAGTTTTTATCTTATTTTAGGATATTATATGGTACTTATTATAATATTAATGGATACGCGCATTTTAATTAAATTTAATTTCAGTTGTATGTATACAGTGTTAAATTCAGTATACAAAAATATATCAATATGAATGAAATTACTTCACAATGTTAATGTTAATATACAACATTTTAATTATAAAGTAGATAATCATCATTAACATCATATACGTCCTAAAATTGGCATCGTCAATGAGGATAATAGAAGAGTTTAGATGTATCATAGATAAAATGATACATGAAAAATATGTTTCTTTTCTGTAACACTATTATTTAATAACATAAAAGCGATAGTAATAAAGTAAGTATAATTTAAGAAATAATTTTGATAATCTAATTTCAGTTTTTATCATATTTTAGTATCCATATTAGATAATATTATAAAATGAATGGATACATATTAATTATATTCATTTTCAGATGTACGAGAATGTGTACAGTGTAAATAATTTATTTTTATTTTATAATTTTATAATTTTTTTATTTTAATTTAATTTTATGTAATAATATGAGTCACCGTCAATACCGCGAATCCAAAAAAGCGAATATCAAAATAGCGACGGCAAAATAGCTAAGTATAAAATAGCTAAAAGGCATAATAACGAATGTTCAAAACAGCTAAAGTATATTATTTTAAAATGATCATTATTGTACGTGTTTAGAAATACATCAGAGTTTAGTCGTAAATCAAATTAAATATTAAAAAATTAAATATAAAAATTAAAAGATAAAAGATATTATATAATATTTATAATTTATACTTGTAGTGATAAATTATAGGCTATGCCTTTCAAATAATTTAAGATATTTCTTTCTGTATATTGTTTTTGAATTTCTAAAATTCTTAATGCAGTATCTTGATATTTTTTTCTTTTTTTTTATTGGATTTTGTCCGCTTATGTATTGCTCTATTTTCATTTCTGTGTTAGTCTGTTCTTGTTTGAACCCTTCTATAAGTTTCCAAAGTGTTGGGTGACACGATCCAAGTAAATGATTAAAACCACGATTCCAACCTATAAAATATGTAAAAATCTATAAAATATACTTAATATATTTTAGATATATTTATTTATAAAAATTAGTTACCTTCGACTGAATTATTAGTCTTTGGCAAATCTATCGCGTCATAACAATTCCACATTTCTAGAGGAAATGTTGGACCTCGACGTCGTTTACGCACCGTCTTTCCAAGCCAAGTATCTTCAAAGTAGTCCAGTAGTGGTCGAAAAAGTTCTTCGTGTTCTATGTAATAATCACTTTCACATAAGTGCTCGAAACTTGCTATTACGTCAGATACTGGTACATAAGCAAGTGCTGGTAACAATCGTATTTGAATACAAAATTCTGCATCAGTTATATATTTTTCGTGAATCGTGGGTATCGATTGTATTTTTCGCCATACACATTGACTTAAGTGAAAGTGACAGCCACGAGAAATTATATTGGGAAAAATTTCCTTAAATGCCAATATCGCACTTTGTTCGAAGTCAGTCATAATAGTTTTAGGATTTAATGGTATATGCGATTTTAGTGTTTTGATTAAATAAGAATATGTTGAAGTACTTTTATCAGGTAATAATGCAAAAACTACTGGTATTACAGTATTATATATCAATACGTGAATAGTGTATATTTGTGTGAATATAGAAGGAGCGCTCTTAAATGTACCGTCGGCGAACCAATGTTCAGATTCAGACATTAACTCTAATCCCTCACGTGTACAAAATATTAAAATTCTATTTTTTGTAGGACCATTAATTTCATAATTATCAAATAACAAAAACTTACTTCCATTGTTTGTTTGTTTATAAATGTCTGGAATTTCTCCTAAATCTTTCAAGGTTAGTGGATTAGGTGGAGAATGTTGATTACATTGCCTAGTTCGCTGAATAATTCTTTTAAGATTTGGTACACTTGTGAGACTCCCTTGAATTACATTGGATGATGCCGTTTTTACAATATCACTAATAATTTTACTTGGATTATGTTGAGTAGTTAAAGCACTTTTTTTCATTTCTTCAGTTAGTTGTTTGACTTCGATTTTAGCTGGATTGGGGACATGTACATGTTTGAATGAAGAATCTTTAATAACCAAAT